AAAACAAATTCAGTATAATCACTCATAAATAACAATCGCTATTTATGATTTGGCTCTAATATGTAAAATTCGCTACTGTGAATGTAATAAATATAATATAATGACCCATCATAAAATTCTCTGCTCCATTCGCGTCTACAATCGGTAGTTCACGAGACAAATCCTACCAACATATAGATGTTTTTCGAATTGCATTAATATTACAATTAATATATGATTTAATCAAACCATAATATATGATAAATTATATGATACGTCACAACGAAAAGCCATATTCAAATGTTCACTCCATCACTGAATTACAGGGTCTTCGACGTGGGTGGCCAGCGGTCGGAACGGAAAAAATGGATTCATTGTTTTGAAGATGTCAACGCTATCATATTTATAGCCGCCATCTCCGAATACGATCAAGTGCTTTTCGAAGACGAGACAACGGTTGGTTTTCTTTAACGAAATTAAGTCAATTCATGGTTTTTACCTGTACTATTTCGAATAGTATCTTACAATAGTAGTACGGTAGCTGTGTTAGAGCTGTGCTCAAAGGAATCCTTCACGGAAAAATTCGTTTTGGGAAAAAAATTCGAAAAAAGGGCTGCTACGCGTTCAAAGTTACCGCCGGACATCTTGTCACAAATGCTGGCGACGGGGATGCTTCCACTTGGTTCTTGGAGTGCCTTCACTAGAAACTCTTTCTGGCCTTCTGCTTTATTGCATTCACATCTCACACTTCTACTCCATCCTATTCTATCGATCGATTTGTCTCTACGCGCGCTTTAACCCGATTCTTTCATTGCGTCGCCTGATACGTAGCCGGCCAAAGGCCAACTTCTTTCCATGCCTCGCCTTTGGCTCCGCCCGAATTACCTTCGATTGTCCATAGAGTGTAGTTTTTGTACGTTTGTTTCTCTTCGGAAACCGAATCTTCATGCGTGAAACTTTGTGTGCTGTTTCCAGTGATCACAACTGACACATTCATGTTGAGAAAGAATGCAAGAATTTTCCGCGAAGGATTCCTTCAAACCTCGTTCTTGTAGAAGCATTTCTAGCCTCCACGAGTTTACCCTCTGCATTTGTGCAATATGCAGAGGGCGAACTGACTTAATGATTTTATCTTTGAATTTTTCTCACGTGACTTCTGTCCACGTCTCCAATTAAATAAATAATTAAAATTTTTCGATCCATATCCTTTTCCTATTTATCCGGAAGAACGGGCGTGTCGACGTCTTCTCCCAGAACAGTCTTGGGGGAGGATTGGGTTGGGTCTAATTGTAAACTGATTTGTAACACTATCCTTTCTTAGGCTAAATCCACTCTTTGTGCGAAAATATGTCGGCTTTTGGGTAGAAAATGCAAAAATGTTCACGATACTGAAAATAGCTCTCCCGTGACCCACCGCTCAACCGACAACAACACTCGCAGTAATTGT